TGCCTCCCGGTCAGGGCACATGCCTGAGTTGTGGGCTGTATCCCCACTAGGGGGCGTGCAGGAGGCAGCCGATCAATGAATGATTCTCTTATCATCGATATTCCTATCTCCCTCTCCCTTTCTCTCTCTAAAATCACTAAAAACATATTTTTTAAAAGAGAATTGCCCGGCGGTGTGGCTCGGTGGTTGAGCGTCAACCTATGAACCAGAAAGTCAGGGTTCATTTCCTGGTCAGGGCACATGCCCGGGTTGCAGGCTCGATCCCCAGTGTGGGACGTGCAGGAGGCAGTGATCAATGTTTCCGTCTCTCTCCCTCTCCCTTCCTCTCTGAATTCGATGTGTGCACATGAAAGAATCGGTCACGGGGGTGCTACCGAGATGTGGGCACGGGACACTGAGCCACCCTCTCATGCCAGGTGGGCCTCAGGGCAAGTGCACTTTAACCCTGAAGGGCTGGCATGAGGGCAGGCAAGAGGGAAGGACAGGCATCCATGCCTCCCGTGGCCTTGCAGAGACCGGAAGTCAGTCCCACCCAAACCCCACACCCAGTCCGCACCGTGCAGCCCACCCCTCGCCCGGTCCGGCCCCCCGCCATGGCGCCCCGGCCAGCAGTGGATGAGGGCGTGGTGAGAGGAAGCGTGACCAATGAGCCACGGGGAGAGCGCGGCACGGGCACCTCCCTCGCCAAGTGTTTAACTTCAGCAGCTGAGTGCCCGGGGATTAGGGGCTCCCATTGTCCCAGTACACAGGCCGCCATGTGCCCCTCCTTCCGAACCTGCATGGAGGGGGTGGCAGTCATCTCCCCGCTTCGCCTGCAGGTGCGGCCGGTGGGGTGGTCGGCAGGGACCGCACCGATGGCGGCTTTCTCAGGGAGGCCCCTCCTCTTAGTGTCTCTGGGTCCCCGGATACTTCCATTTGACACCATCATAACATTCCCGGCGTGGCCATCGCGAGCCCTGCACAGCCCTCCCGACCCCCGACGTGTCCCCTCCATCTCTGAGGGCTCCTGTCCCGGCCCAAACCTGGAGGCCCCCCGCCCCCCACTCCACCCCCACCAGGAGCCCGCCCGCAGCGGCACCCACCTTGGTGGGCTGGGCTGACAGTGCTCTCAGGCCCCTCGGAGCTCAGAGCTGGGCCAGGATTCACTTCTTAGTGAATGATGACAGATAGATAGATAGATAGATAGATAGATAGATAGGTAGATAGACAGTAGATAGCCAGATAGTGTGGACAGAAGGAAAAAAAGGCCACGTGCTGACCTGACCGGCTCAGGGAGGCCTGCATGGCAGACTTGCAAACTCAGAGACCTAGAGTCACCACAAAGGATGGCCTGAAATTAAACTTTAACTAAAGCAGTTATGGTGGGCAGTTACGTCCTAGGCCAGTATCTTCACTGACAAGGTCAACCTTTACCGTAACTGAGCCTGTCTGTCTTCTTCATCTATGATAACATACCCTTGAAATGCCTGGGTAACTTGTAACTCCCCTTTTTCCAGACCCCTCGGGGCACAGCCAAATGCGCTGGGCCCAGGACGGAGACCGCAGGTTCCTTCATGGTTATTGTTGCCATGTTCATTGTTGCCTGTTAACTATCCTGCACCCGCCTGCGGAGGAGCCCAGGTGCGGAGAGGCTCCCGCGAGTTGTGAGGGGACCAGCGAGGTAACGAGAAGTAAACCCACATCCACACACAGCGGGTGAGGCTGCGAGTGCTGAGACGGAGGGGAGATGCATGGACAGTGGCCACCACAACCCTTCCGGAGGTCAGGGGGCGGTGGAGGTGGGCCTGCCCAGCCCTGTCTCCTAGTCCCAGGGAGGCGCGGGCTGCGGGGCGATGCGCCAGGCAGGGGGAAGGGGTCCCCACCACGTCCACCCTGGCCGGCGGCTCAGGTGGTTGGAGCGTGTCCCACACCCCAGAAGGTGCGGTTCCATCCCCGGTCGCGTGCACACAGGAGGCAACCAATCCATGTTTCTATCTCACATCATTGTTTCTCCCTCTTCCGTCTCTCTCCCTTCCTCTCGCTCTAAAATCAATAAAAACATACTCTCGGGTGAGAATAAATAAATACATAAATCTGAAACATGAAAGCAATGCCACCAGCACAGAAAGGTGGTCCCAGTGAGGCACAGCCACACGAGGGGGGCGTGGGCGCGGTCTCCGCACCCCTTTGCTGAGGTCACCCATCTGGGGAAGGGGTGCTCGGTGGACCCGGGAGGCAGCCTGGCTGAGAAGGCAGAGGTGGGGTGCAGGGCAGCCCCCAGAACTCAGCCTGCGCTGCCAGACGCTCCCTGCCAGCTCCCGGGAAAGGCCAGCAGCGCCCCTTTCTTTGTTTAAAGTACGTTTCCACTGACTTTTAGAGAGAGGAAGGGAGAGGGAGAGAGAGATGGAGACGATGGGAGAGAATCATGGATCGGCTGCCTCCTGCACGCCCCCTACTGGGGAGTGAGCCTGCAACTGGGGCACATGCCCTTGACCAACCAGAATTGAACCTGGGGCCCTTCAGTCTGCAGGCCGATGCTCTATCCACTGAGCCACACAGCTAGGGCAGCCACTTTCCACTGTGTGAGACCGCAGCGCGCCGGCCTCACGCATCAGCTCCCGCTACAGTGAGAATCCAGCTTTGATGTCGGTGTGAGAAATGCAGAGTGAAAAGCTGGAAGGAAACCCCATCCCTACAGAGGCGATGTGGGGCTCCCTGGCTTCACACACGTTCACGCCCACCTTCTCAGGCCCTCTGCACGGCGTCTGGACCCGCCACCAGCCCCCTCCTCAGCCAGGAGCCCAGGAGGAGCGCGCAGGCCCCAGTGTTCCAGGGGACACCAGGCAGGTGCCGGCTGCACCCCAGCACCAAGGCCCGCACTGCAGCCCCACCTGCCCCAACCACTTCCCTCTAGCTCAGGGATGGCGAACCTTTTGAGCTCGGCGTGTCAGCATTTTGAAAAACCCTAACTTAACTCTGGTGCCGGGTCACATATAGACATTTTTTGATATTTGCAACCACAGTAAAACAAAGACTTATTTTTTGGTATTTATTTTATATATTTAAATGCCATTGAACAAAGAAAAATCAACCAAAAAATGAGTTCACGTGTCACCTCTGACATGCATGTCATAGGTTCGCCATCACAGTAAAGACTGTCTGGGCCCACACGCCCACCCCACGCACCCCACCCCAGGGCCCCAGGGCACTCACCACGTGCAGGCGTGGGGCAGAATGGGTCCCAGCCCCCTTTACGGAGGCTGAGAGGCTAATTCAGGGCCCAGGTTGCACAGCGGGTGCAGAGCATCAGGGAACCTGCGCTCATGGCCCTGATTGTCACACCCCAGCCCTGCACCCGAGGATCACCCAGTGGGGCAGGGCAGGCTGACGAAGGACTGCGCTCCAGTTTAGAGACTAGAAAGGGGTCACATGCATTAACATGTTAAAAAATGCAATACATGTGACGGGAAGGAGCATTCCATAAATTCAATCTCTCTCTCTCTTTTTTTTAATCCTCACCCGATGATATTTTTCCATTGATTTTTAGAGAGAAGGAAAGACAGAGAGAAACATCGATGTCAGAGAAACACATCGATTGGTTCCTCCTGTAGGAGGTCGGACCAGGGCCTGGGCCCGGGAGGAGCCTGCAACCAAAATACGTTCCCTTGACCCAAATCAAACCCGGGACCCTTCAGTCCACAGGCCGATGCTCTACCCACTGAGGCAAACCGGCCAAGGCTAAAACCCAATCTCTGTTCTTAAGATGTCTTAGCTGTTAATCTGATAAGAGCCTCTCCCCTAAAACTTGGGACCGTAACCCGAGTTAATGGGGACGTGCTGAGAGCTCGCCCTCTGAGGCCAAGGACACAGATGCCACTGGCAGCCTTCCCGCGCCAGCTCAGCCTGATGTGACGGGGCAGCGGGGGGAGTTGTAAGGAAACAACACTCTATTCACAGAGGGCTGAGTGCGCACCGGGTCTGAGCGTCTACAGAGAAGCAATGCTAATGAACAGGGAGTTTAGCAAAGCTGTTGGAGTCGATATCTATGTGCAAGATTCCACTTTCATTCTATGTGTCAGCAGCTGGGTTGGGAAATAACTTCCACAATAGACATTATTTACAGCATCCAAAGCCAGGGGTGATGCCGGGGGCACTTCCAGAAGAGGCGGAAAACGTGTCAGAGGCACAGAGAGGCCCCAGTGAATGGAGACCACGCCGCGGGCTAGAAAACTACAGATTCTCCTGGGTGTGTTAACTCTTTCCAACTTGACTTATAGGATCAAAGGAACTTCTATCCAAATCCCAACATGTGTTCCTGGAAGGTAACATGCTGATTTCAAGACGTGCAGGGAATGTAGTCAATCCAACACACATGGACGCCTGGCACCGCGGTGCGTCAGAGGCTAAAACCCACCAGGACTGCCTTGTGCAGTTTCGCCGTGAAACGCCAAGTGATCAAAGGTGGAAGCCGCGCCCTGCAGGACATGGGGCATAGAATGACAAGCAAGATTCAATATCAGATGTCACAGTCCCAGCGACAGGAAGACACGGTCCAGTTTCTACGGAGCAGAGAGGAAAGGGGCCTGCGGTCATCCGGTTCCCGGGGTCTGGGTGGCCGGGTCTTCTCTCTACCAATCCCCGCCTCTCGCCGCCCTGTCCGCCTACCAGCCCGCAATCTCAGTTACGGAAGCCCTAGCATTCGGCAGTGATCTGAGCGCCCGCATCACGAGGCCGCGGCGTGGTTGCCTGAGAAACGCTCACGTGCCGCCACAGGGATTCCTGGGGCTTGTAGTTCGCCGACGGCCTCGCCTGGGCTGGCCGCG